TAGCGGAAGTTGGACTTGCACGGACTTAATTGGGTTTTGTTCCACGCCCTTCGATCGCTCGACCGGCTGCCACGACTTTTGCCCTCTCTCATCGGTTCGTGACGAGTGCCGGAGCAACGTATCCGCGTTTTCCGCGCGTTCTCCATCGGGATTTTCCCCGTTGTTCGGCTATCGATCCCCTGCAAACTTCTCCTCTCCTCTCCTCCCAACTGCCCTTCCTTTTCTGGGAACACCGACAGACTGCCTGCACTCTCGTTCCCTTGCGTCCCCTCCCCCTCACCGTATACGTGTACTCTGGATACGTAGATACGCGTGTATACGTGTGTGTTCGCCATGCCGAAAATCGACTCGTACGAAAGCACTCCCTCGGGACGGTTTTATGGGTTTTTACTTTTTTAACCTACATTTCCTATGCCGTCGCGTCGGTGGAAACGAGAGGTAACCTCGCTCGATTCGATCAGAATTCGGATGCGCGCTTCCTAAGAAAACCATTCCGAACGATTTGCGCGCTTTCAATGGACCAGACGCATCGCGACGCAACGCTCGCGTCTCCTCGCCGCTAGAATTTCATTACTGTTCTTTCCTATCGTTTAAATACGTGTTCTTTGCTCGAAAAATATAATTCTCCGTATTCGTTGATTAGTTCGAATTAAGGAGTCTTCGTATTACTAATTCATTGAGTGCTTAATTGGATTTACGAGGAGCCGAAAATTTTTCCGTCGACGTCGAGGCTTTGTCTTAGTTAGACTCGTTAAACGTAATTGCATCTGTTTCCATCAACGTTTGTTCGCTCGTTCGAGCATCGATCGGTTTCCTCTCTTGTCTTTCGCCCTTGTCAGCGATGCTTTCATGGAAAACGTAACGTTCAACGAAAGAAACGTCGACTCGGACGGAGGAACGTTGATCCCCTGGGACGATTTGGCAAGTGTATCTATCGCACCCTTCGACGGGATCCTTGAAGCGTACCCTTTCCTACCCCCTTTAAGGAAAGTCCTTCTTTCTTTCTTGTATCTTCTTTGATCGGTCTAGCGTACGTGGCACGGCTTTTAAATAAAAACCATCGAGGAATAAGAGCTTGTTCGACGTGGCATGTAAAGTGTGTTTCCCGTTTTTCGATTCGCGCTCGAACGATTCGACGGCGCACGTCGAGAACGCGTTCGGATAATACTAACGAAAAGTTTCGAGTATCCGTGACTCGCGATCTCGACTCCTACCGATGCAAACAACGACGGATTCATAACGTATTTTATATCAATTACAACGCCGCGTCGTTTGGATCGAAGAGGAGAAAGACGATGTATGGTGGCGATTACAGTTTCAAGGCGCTAGTGTTAACGAGATTGGCGAGAAATCTTTTTGGTCGTTAATATATCTCGACTACGGCTCTGTTCGCCGAGATACGGCAACGCGAATCCACCGTATTTTCTGCCAATTCATTTTTAATCCACTGTGCGTCGTAAAATATAATTTTGAACGAAATCTCGTACTTTCGACCGACGGTGTACGTGATACGATGAGATTACGAGAGACAGCCAGGAGGGATTAAGTTTTTTTATCCCTAGAAAATGTACAGCGAAGTTATAACGAGAAGTCGTTACGGTTACTCGGCCGTCAGCAAAAGCTTCCCGTCCTCCTTTTTGTTTTCGTTAATATTTCATTGGTCGCGTCCGATTGTCCATTATTCTCTCGCATCGTTGACCGTTCCAGCCGAATAACGTTTAAAGGCGAGCACGTAGCAAAGCATCGCATACGTATGTGGGTGTGTATCGCGTATACGTGTAAGCGTATAGGGTTGGCATCGCACAAACGCGTCGAAATCTGGCCACGATGCACTCCCCGTTGCTCGCACACGACCAATCATGTGCCTAGGAATTAGGGGTTCGATGTACGCTCTGGCTACTTTTAATTCGGCAAATTAATGAACAACGTCAACGTCGGCGACGTCGCAACGACTGCCGCATACAGATAACTACAGGGAAAATTTGCCGAACAGGCAGCACCGCTGTTCGGCTAACGTAGTTATCCTGTCGAGAATCCCGAACTTTTCGCGGAAAAATCGACCATGGATTTTCAAAGTTGGACAAAAATGTTACTGCAAACGTTTATAGATATAAATTATTAATTTCAAACGAGTTTCGCTACGAATTCTTTACAGAATGAAATTTAATTGGTACGCGAGCAACATGAAATCTATTTTGGACAGGTCATTTGATATTTGTCGGCGAATAACACAGTCATCGTAAGCTATCAAAAACGGTATAAAAACACTACCGTACATTAAGCAGGCGCAATATTTTTTCCAACCGTAATAATCGTTAAAAATATTAGCGTTCATTTATTTAGCATAGCGTAAAATTTCGCGTGTCTCTACTGGTCCCACGGTATTTGATAATTTTACCGTGCACGAAGGAATAATTTAAACGTGGCTTGATTGCACCGGATAATCTTTTTTTCCAGCGAAATGAAAACGCCGATGGAAATCATCCGCGCGTAGGAACGTCGATGGGAACCTTTATTAAATAAACACGGCGTTTTGATGTTGCCGGTCGAGGGGAGGCCATCTTTCCGCGAACATCCGCAAAACTTCGTATACGCGAGCAACGTAACGAGGTGATCGTTAGCTACGCGTTTATTACGCTCTCTCAGCACCCTCCCGCAAATAAAGCGTGCTAAAATCCACGCCGGTGCAAATTGAAATTCCTCTGAAATTTGGGTCAAGAAATATGTGTATCGTCGACTTGTTCGAAAAAAGAGCGAACCACGTTGCATCTGTACAACGTTTTGCTTATTCAAATACCGAAATCATAATCCATTTAAACAGTTTTATCGATCAACGGAAAGCCAGTTCGCTCTTTTAATCGACGTATTTTCATTGATGCGTTAGTTGAAAATATTTTTGAAGAGAGAAGAAAAAAAATGATTTGTCGAACAAACAAGTTTTAACATCCCTTTTTCTCGTTGCAGATTGGTGACGCTGCAGTAGCGTCGACGAGATACCGACGACGACGACGACGACGACGACGACAACGAGCACGAGTACAAGGACGACGAGGACGGCGGCGTGATCGTGTCGCGGGGGTGGCGGGTTGAAAATCGACGCTTGCCCGGTGTCTCCTGCGTGTACCAAGTTCTCTTCTCTCCCTTCGATTTCCTTCCCCTTTTTCTATCCAGTGGCCCTTATTTCGTGTACCAACGGTGTCTCTTGCTCCAACCCACGTGCATAAGAGGGTATACGTGTGCATACGTAGAGTAGTGGCGCGTAAGTGTACGCACACGCGACTCGCGGTCCGTATATACGTATCGTCGCGATTGCGCGGTACGACTCTCCGAGCGGCGACTCGCGCATCGTTTACAGAATGAAATTTAATTGGTACGCGAGCAACATGAAATCTATTTTGGACAGGTCATTTGATATTTGTCGGCGAATAACACAGTCATCGTAAGCTATCAAAAACGGTATAAAAACACTACCGTACATTAAGCAGGCGCAATATTTTTTCCAACCGTAATAATCGTTAAAAATATTAGCGTTCATTTATTTAGCATAGCGTAAAATTTCGCGTGTCTCTACTGGTCCCACGGTATTTGATAATTTTACCGTGCACGAAGGAATAATTTAAACGTGGCTTGATTGCACCGGATAATCTTTTTTTCCAGCGAAATGAAAACGCCGATGGAAATCATCCGCGCGTAGGAACGTCGATGGGAACCTTTATTAAATAAACACGGCGTTTTGATGTTGCCGGTCGAGGGGAGGCCATCTTTCCGCGAACATCCGCAAAACTTCGTATACGCGAGCAACGTAACGAGGTGATCGTTAGCTACGCGTTTATTACGCTCTCTCAGCACCCTCCCGCAAATAAAGCGTGCTAAAATCCACGCCGGTGCAAATTGAAATTCCTCTGAAATTTGGGTCAAGAAATATGTGTATCGTCGACTTGTTCGAAAAAAGAGCGAACCACGTTGCATCTGTACAACGTTTTGCTTATTCAAATACCGAAATCATAATCCATTTAAACAGTTTTATCGATCAACGGAAAGCCAGTTCGCTCTTTTAATCGACGTATTTTCATTGATGCGTTAGTTGAAAATATTTTTGAAGAGAGAAGAAAAAAAATGATTTGTCGAACAAACAAGTTTTAACATCCCTTTTTCTCGTTGCAGATTGGTGACGCTGCAGTAGCGTCGACGAGATACCGACGACGACGACGACGACGACGACAACGAGCACGAGTACAAGGACGACGAGGACGGCGGCGTGATCGTGTCGCGGGGGTGGCGGGTTGAAAATCGACGCTTGCCCGGTGTCTCCTGCGTGTACCAAGTTCTCTTCTCTCCCTTCGATTTCCTTCCCCTTTTTCTATCCAGTGGCCCTTATTTCGTGTACCAACGGTGTCTCTTGCTCCAACCCACGTGCATAAGAGGGTATACGTGTGCATACGTAGAGTAGTGGCGCGTAAGTGTACGCACACGCGACTCGCGGTCCGTATATACGTATCGTCGCGATTGCGCGGTACGACTCTCCGAGCGGCGACTC